GGTTTGGTTTCTCTGTTCCTTGCATATAAGTGAAGCCATCGGATATTTGTCTTTCTCCTTCTGTCTTATCTTGCTTAGTTAGCATCATTCCTTTCAGGTCCATCCATGTTGTCCCAAGAGACAAGAGCTTATCTTTTTTTGATTGCTGAGTATTCCATGGTGGATCTGTGCATCTGGGTTGTTCCCTTATCTTGGCTGTTGTAAATAGTGCAGCAGTAAACATCTGTGCAGGTTTCCTTTTTAGTGTTTGTGTCCTTTGGGTAGATTCTTAGAAGTGAAGTCACTAGATCATATGGTAGATCCAGTTTTAGTGTTTTGAGGAACCTCCACACAGCTTTCCATAGCAGCTGGCCCAAGGTCCTCGGCACTCACAGGCATAGTTGGCATAGCAAATGGGCTGCCCACAGCCAAGACCCTTTTTTGTCATGACCATGATCCTTTCTTGGTCACCTTGGAAGCAAGGATTGGAAAGGATCATCTACTTTTTTTTTTTTTTTAAGATTATTTGTGCATACAGAACTGGGTTACATGGGTTACAGGCCAGAGGTGTGGGGGCGGTGAGAGGATTCACCAGAGACAGAGTGGGGAGCAGAACAGGCAGATGTACTGAAATATATTGCTGAGGGAGCAGCAGGTGGGTCAGGAGAGGTCTGCCACGCCATGTGGGTCACCTCCAGGGTGGGGATCGAAAGGAAGTGGATCGCTGAAGTGGCTTTAGCTTCTTTGTGCTGTGCTTTAAACCGCTGTGCCATCAGGGAGGGCCAGGGTTATCTACTTTTTAAGGCTGAATAATGTCCCTGTGTGTGTCATTGTCTTTGTTCATCTGTCATTGGATGCCTACCCTGTTTGCTGTCAGTGATGTGCAGTAAACGTGAAAGTACAGATCTCCCTTTGAGATAGTGGTGTTGTTTCTACCTTTGAGATAGTGGTGTTGGGATATGTACCTAGAAGTGAGATTGCTGACTCACTGGATAGTTCTGTTTTAATTTGTTAAGGCATCTCCACACCCTTTTTCATGGTGCATCTTAACCATTTTTAAGTGTACAGTTCAGCAGTGTTAAGTATATTCACGTAGTCGTGCAATTCTCTGTACAGGTTCTGTAGCTTTTTCATCTTGCAAAACTGAAACTCTATACCCACCCCACCATAGCTTCCTGTCTCCTCCACCCCAACGCCTAGCACCCACCATTCTGCTTTCAGTTCCTGTGAGTTTGACCACTTCAGGTACCTCATATAAGTGGAATCATACACTTTTTTTATGCGTATGACTTTCAGCATAATGTCCTCAAGGGTCCCTTATTTAGCAGCATATTTCAGAATTTCCTTCCTTTCTGAGGCCTGCTAATGCACCACATCTTGTTTACCAGTTCATCCATTAATAGATCCTTGGTTGCTTCCACCTTTTGACTGGAAAGTTGTTTTAAATTGACCAATCCAGTTTGGTCCTGTGTGTCTTAAAGTCTATTTTGAAAGCTGTTGTAGCCTCTGAAAAAGTTTAATATTGATAAGAATTAACTACTCCTCCCACACACACCCTTGTTAACTGGGCTTTAATGAAAATGATTCCTGCTGATGTAAAAAAAAAATTATATATATATATAATTTTAAAAAATGATTCCTGCTTCACATATCAGTGTTTGTTTACAAGCAGTCACACAATATTTCATATAGTTAGTGAATTCTTAAAGGTCTGACTCTGCTCTTTGAGGAGCACAGCCAATTTGCATGAAAAATATATTCAAAACAGAAGCAGAGGTGGCTCCTGTTACCTTTATAATTGGCACTAGGCATCTAGATATTCTGAACCAGAGATACTCAAAATATATATCTCCTAGGCCAGCAGTATCCATATCACCTCGAAATTTGCCATAAATGCAAATTTTTCACCCCATCTAAAACTTGCTGAGCCAGAAAACCTCTGTAACTGGGGCCCAGCAGCCTGTGTTTTAGTGAGACTTCCTGGAGATTTGGAGCTCCATAAAGTTTAAGCTTCTCTACTCTAAAATTACTAGTTCCAGGTACCTGCCTACAGATAACTTCATCTGGCTCTTACTCCTTTCATATTTTAGCCAATCGAACACATCTTACACATATTTAATTTCACCAATGATGGTCCATTTCTAACATTTGCCATGCTATTTAATGACCTAATTTCACCAGGAAAATTCTAATTTCCTACTTAATACAGTCTCAGAAATGGATCAGTCTTCATCAGGACATGAATAGTTGCCTCTGGGCTTCCTCTGTAGAACGCTGGCGGAGCACCTGCACATTCCTGATTGAGATAATAAAAGCACCTGCACTCTTAATTTACACTTGGTGCTGAAGCCCTTTAAAGTAAATTACAGGTTTTTTCACAGAAGGGAAGAAAAAGGTGGAGATGATGGGTATGTGCATGCATACATGTTCAGAGGGAAGAGAGAAAGAGGTGGAGAGAGGAACTCAGTTAATGACCAAGAAAAAGAAGTCCGGTAGGAAAGATCGGAAGGTTGAAGATATTGTGAATGTTCACAAAGAGTGAGGATTTAAAACAGCTAACCTTGGGACTGGATGAGTCACTGACTCGAGATAGGGATGGTTTTTGGGCATGGTTAAAAAACCCAACTGTTATTTTTATTAATTGAAGAGAAATTAATGTTCATCTGAATTACATTTTTAGAACATGGGTGTTAGAAAAGTATGTACGACCAAGTACTACATACACCTGTTCATGGTTTTTTGCCCTGCCTGGTGACAGTTTTGTAAAAATTTAGCTAAAGAGTGCCATCTTCTGGTACTAAGAAGTATGTGCAGACAGGGAGTTGTGCATTGGAATCTTAGTAATAAAAGCTTAGAGCCAGAGAAACCTTTGATGTTTGGGGCTAAATATCCTATTGTAAAGTTAAACATCCTTTGTAATTTGTCTTTTTAGTTATGAGATCATTTTACTGCTATTTCATGTGTATGGAGACATGTCTGAAAAATAAAACAGTATATGTCCAACCACCCTTTACTTACAAACGTGGGGGATTTGCTTGTAGTTTATGATGGGAGCCCTAAGTTGACGAGCCTGTTCCTTGCAAATACATTTTTTGATGTAAAGTCAGCCTGAGTCCTTTGATCAAGACAAGAATCAATTCTTGTAAGCTGAACACCAGATGTGTCTTCATCGCCTAACAGTTTACTAAAATACTGGCTTGTTCTTTTTCAAAATCTTTTCGAGAGGAAATATATTAATTTTGTTCTCAATGAGGTTTTCAAGTTAGAAACCACAGTATTCTTTGTAATGATTATTTTACAAACACTGACATTCCAAACTCCACACTGTGCTGGAGGGGGAGGCGCAGTTCCGGGATGTATCTGATGAGTCTCCACCTTCCCATCATTTTTCTACCAGGGAAAGTAATATGAACATAAAGGATACTGGATTTGGGAATGTAAGTTACATGGGAGGAGGAAAATAATCTCAGGAAGGAAATACACAAACTCAAGATTTTCACTGTGAGATGGGTCTTGGCAGCTTCCTGCCCACCTGTGACTCTGCAGGTGCCGCTCTTTTTCTTCTTTCTCCTAATAAACCTGTCCTTTTAAAGTGTGACCTTCAAAAGAAATGGAATGGAGGAAGGAGGGAGGGCAGGGAGGGAAAAGGAAGAAATGAGAGGCAGACTGGGAGGAAGGAGGGAGGGAGAGGGCGGGAGAGGGAAGGAAGGAAGGAGGAAAGGAGAGCTAAGGTTAGGACCTGCCTGGTGGCACAGGGGTTCAGTCTGCCACTGTGACGTGGAGGCTCAGTCCCCAGCCCGGGAGCTAACCCAAATGGTGAAGGCCTCTCCTGTCTCAACCCCTGCTCCCTTCCCGGTATTTCAGTAGATCTGCCTATTCTGTTCCCCCCAGTCTTTGAGGAATCCTCTCACCACCTGCACCTCTAACCTACACCCCAGTTCTTGTATGTATAAATAAATAAAATAAATCTTTTTTTTTTTTTAAACTTGCTGGTGGCTCAGCAGGTTAAAGCATAGCATTACGAAACTCACCACAGCAGTTCACCACAAGTTCGATCCCCGGCCAGGGAGATAACCCACATGGTGCAGCAGACCTCTCCTATCTTGCCCACTGCTCCCCTCAACAGTGTGTTTCATCAGTGTGCCTGTTCTGCTCACTACTTTCTCTGGTGAATCATCTCACCACTCTTGCACTTCTGGCCTGTACTTCAATTCTGTATGCATAAATAAGTAAATCTTTAAAAAAAAAAAAAAAGATTCAGGAACCAAAGATTAGCACAATTGAAGGACTAACTCTCTTATCCCAGAAGATATTCATAATAGAATTGTCCTTTTTCTGGAGAGAAGTCCCAGGATTTGCTTCATTCATCCATTCAGCTAGTGCTTTTTTATACACTTGATTATGTGTCTGGGTTTGTGTAAAAATCCCAGGAAACAAAGATGACCCTGCTTTGAGTTTCTCTGACACAGCAATGAGTGTGCCCAGAGCCCACGACTTGGATTGCTGGGGATAAAGCCCAGCAATTGTCTTTAAATAAAGACAATTAAAATAAAGCCCAGTATTGTCTTTAACACTGCTCAGCATTTCTTCTTCAGGATAAGTGATTCCAGTTCAGTGGTTCAAAACATTGATTCTGGAAAGCTGACTGTCCAGGTTCAGATTCCAGCACCGGCACTCATCTGCTCTGTAATATTTTTTAAAGATTTACTTGTTGTTTGTTTATATGTTGAAGAACTGGGGTATAAGCCAGAGGTGGTAGTTGAGAGGATTCACCAGAGACAGAGTGGGGAGCAGAACAGGCAGATCTGTGAAGCGCACTGCTGAGGGGAGCAGAAGCAGGTCAGGAGAGGTCTGCCTCGCCATGTGGGTCACCTCCTGGGTGGGGGATCGGACTTGAGCTGAAGCGGCTGCAGCTGGCTTGCAGTGCTGCACCCTAACCTGTTGCACCACCAGGGAGGTCCCCCTGTATTTCTTTTTTGTGAACCTTTTTTTAAACTGCTTTCTTATTTTCTGGTTTTTAGTGTGACAAATACAAGACTGGAGTTATTGATGGGCCTGCGTGTAATAGTCTTTGTGTTACAGAAACTCTTTACTTTGGAAAATGTTTATCCACCAAGCCCAACAACCAGGTATGGACATTATGAATCAATATTCCAGACCGATAATGTATTCTAATTTTTCTTTGAACTAAAGCATTCCTAAAAGAATGCTTGAACCAGCTCTTTTAGGATCTGTTCTATAAGTTGAACCTTTAACAACATGGGTTTGAGCTGCTTGAGTTTACTTAAGTAGATGTTTTCAACTACTTCTTTGCTTCCTCCTATTCGTCCTAATCAGTGTGAAGACTGTAAGGATAAAAGCCTTTATGGTAATGATACAATGATGATTGTATTAATAACATTTTCTCTAGCTTTCTTTATTGTAAGAAAACAATGCAGTATGGTAAAGATGCTCACTTTCACTGCTTCTGCTCAACCTAGGGAAGTTAGATCACTTAGATAAAAAGAAATAAAAAGCATTTAAATTGGAAAGGAAAAGGTAAAAAAGTATCTCTCTTCACAGATGACAAAGATTTTGTATGTAGGAAAACCAGAGCCCACAATAAAATTGTTAGAATTCAGCAAAGAAGTGAGAAACAAAGTCAACACCAAAAAGTAATTTGTATTTATATGCACTAACAATGAACAGTCCAAAAAGGGAATATTGTAAGTTTCACTTACAACAGTATTAAAAGAATAAAGCCTTTAGGAATTAACTTCACCATGGAGGCAAGAGACGTGTACAGTGAAAACTTCACAATACTGCTGAAAGAAACAAAAGTCATAAATCAGCAAATGGAAACACTTCCCATGCTAATCATTAATTGGAAGACTTAATATAGTGATATAGAGACTAAATACAATCTCAAAACAAACAGAAGCCTAGTGACCATTTTTGCAGAAATAGAAAACATATCCTAAAATCGTACAGAATCTCAAAGGACTCCGGATAACCAAAACAATCTTGAAGAAGAACTTTTGGATTCTGCTGGTAGCTGGACTCACCACTGCTGTTGGTCATGGGTAATTGTTGGCACAGAGATGGCAGCACTGAGGATGAACTTGCCTAGATTGTCTAAGACTCTTGAGTACATACACTTGTCTCTGTGGGATTTGTTTTTGGTTATTACCTACACAGAATAATGAAAAGCTAACTGCTTTCTAGAATAAGAGTCTGTTATTTAAAGGAGAATTAAGGTCTGCTGAAGAAATTGCCTGGAAGTAAAGGCTATGACTAAATTACGGAATGTTCACTTTGTAAAAATTATGAGAGACATGCACACAGTATTCAATGTGAAAAGAAAAAGAACCACAAAGCTGACATACTTATACTTCCGGATTCAAAACTCACTGCAGAGTTGCAGTAATCAAAGCAGGGTGGTGCTGGAGTACAGACAGACACACAGACCAATGAAATAGAATAGAGAGCCCAGAAAGAAATGATCACATATAGCCAATTGATGTTTCACAAGGATGCTAAAATTATTCAGTAGGGAAGAGACTGTTTTTTCAAAAAATGGTGCTAGAAAAACTAGATGTCCACATGTAAAGTAATAAATTTGGTTCTTCCTCACACCATATTCAAAATTTAGACAGAATGTGTCCAAGACTTAAATGTAAGAACCAAAATTATCAACTTAAAATATAGGGCAAAAGCGGCCCTCCCTGGTGGCACAGCGGGTTAAAGCACAGCACTAAGAAGCTAAAACCACTTCCGCATGACTTCGATTGCCACCTGCCCCGGAGGTGACCACATGGCATGGCAGACCTCTCCTGACCTGCCCGTTGTTCCCCTCAGCAGTGTACTTTGTCGATCTGCCTGTTCTGCTCCCCACTCTGTCTCTGGTGAAGTCTTTCGCCACCCCTGGCCTGTACCCCAGTTCTGTGTGCACAAATAAATAAATCTTTAAAAAAAAAACAAACAGGGCAAAGGCTTCATGACATTAAATTTAGTGAATGATTTCTTGGAGATGACATCAAAGACACAGGCAACAAAAGTAAAAATAAAGTAATTGTACTTAATGAAAGTTTTAAATTTTGCACATCAAAAGACCATCATATCAATGGCCCATATCCGAGTCTTCCTGGTGGCACAGGGATTAAAATCTCAGCTCTGGCCGAAGTTCTATCCCCTGCCTATGAACTAAGCCACATGGCACAGCAGACCTCTTCTGTCTCTCCTGCTGCTCCCCTCAGCAGTGTACTTCATAGATCTGCCTGTTCTGCTCCCCACTCTGTCTCTGGTGGGTCCTCTCACTGCCGACCCCCACCCTCCCATACTTCTAGCCTACATCCCAGTTCTTGTGTGCATAAATAAATAAAACTAAGTCATTTTTTAAAAAAAGACTGTATTAATAAAGTAAAAAGGCCACCTATAGTATTGGAGAAAATATTTACCTATCATATAATAAAGTATGGGTTTAATATCCAGAATATAGATAACTCCTAAAACTTAACAGAAGTCATGTAACTGGAATCAGAAAATGGGCAAAGGAATTTGAGGAGTAGGGAGTTACTGTTTAATGGGTAGAGAGTTTGGGTTTTACAGTGTTCTGGAGATGGATTCCAGTGACTGTAGCACATTATAAAGGGGGAGTAGGGGTGGAGTCCACCAAACTCTGCAGAGTTCCTTTAGTACATCCTTCCCCTGAACAATTCTGCTAATACACTAAAAATGATTAAAATGGTAAGTTGTATGTTTTTTATATATTACCATAGTTAAACAGTGGGGAAACATTAAAATTGACGATCATGATCAAAAATACGTATTTAAGCATGTATGACTTTTTTTTTTAACCCATACTTTTTTTTTTTTAAAGATATATTTATTTATTCATATAGAACTGGGGTACAGGACAGAGATGCGGAGGGTGAGTGGATTCACCAGAGACAGAACGGGGAGCAAAACAGGCAGATCCACGAAGTACACTGCTGAGGGGAGCAGCGGGCGGGTCCGGAGAGGTCTGCCTTGCCATGTGGACTCCTCCGGGGCAGGCGGAAATCGAACTCATGTGGAAGTGGCTTAAGCTTCTTAGTGCTGTGCTTTAACCCGCTGCGCCAACAGGGAGGGCCTAGGCATGTATTACTTTTGTAATTTTTAAAAATATAAGGAAAAAGGCCTTGAAATTTGAATTGCAAATTTCAATTCACAATGAAAGTTATAGTTTAATATAAAGGTTTTGTTAATTGGTTGTGTGTTTTTTAGAGACGAGCACTAAAAATGCAGTGGTGGGTTTTTCCTCTCCTCAGTCTAATACATAACTTGTCCATTTTCACATAGATGTATTTAGGGATTTGGGATAACCTACCAGGTGTTGTGAAATGTCAAATGGAACAAGCACTTCATCTAGATTTTGGAACTGAATTGGAACCAAGAAAAGAAATAGTGCTTTTTGATAAGCCAACTAGAGGAACTACTGTACAGAAATTCAAAGAAATGGTCTACAGCCTCTTTAAAGTAAGTATATCCACTCACATGTTACCAGCATAAATCTATACATTTTTCTGTAAGAGTTGGAGAAATCTTATCCTAAACCATAAAAATGTTGCTATTCTTTGATCAAAGACAAAAACGTATAAAGGATGTTTACTTCAGTATTCTTTTTTTTTTTTTTAAGATTTATTTATTTATGCATACAGAACTGGGGTACAGGCCAGAGGTATAGGAGCAGTGAGAGGGTTCACCAGAGACAATGTGGGGAGCAGAACAGGTGGGACAAAGTACACTGCTGAGGGGAGCAGTGGGCAGGACAGGAGAGGTCTGCTGCACCATGTGGGTCATCTCCCTGGCTAGGGACCAAACTCATGCCAAAGTGGTTGGTAATAGCTTGATAGCACTGAGATTTTAACTGCCATGCCACTAGGGTAGCCTGTCCTGTTATATTTTCACTGAAAACATTTTCAGTCTGTTTTATTCCAGGGGAACTAATCAGAAAAATACTTTTTAATATTCATAACTAGAGTAATACAACTCAAAACAGAATATATTGTTAATGTGTTAACTACAAAATAAAGGAAAATTTTCAGTTGAACCTTATAACTGTATGTGAGTACATTACACTGCAGTTGTGCAAGTAAAAATTGTTGTCTTTGTTAACTGTCTATAGTAGCTGAGGTAGCTTCAGAAGTTACTATGACTTTTCTTATTAACAAATATATTCAAAAGTATTATTTCTGCAACTAGAGGTTATTACAGTGCTGATTCACTTAGTGAGCATTATAAATATTTAGATATATTAAGTTCCTTATGAGGATTCACAAGGATTATTATTTAGCATGGTAGTAATCCCCATAAAGGAAATTAGTATGTTACATGTGACATATTTTTCATTCTGTGTAATTAGCCAAATTCTTATCTTCATAGGCAAAATTGGGTGACCAAGGAAACCTTTCTGAACTGGTTAATCTCATCTTGACGGTGGCTGATGGAGATAAAGATGGTCAAGTTTCCTTGGGAGAAGCAAAGTCTGCATGGGCACTTCTTCAGTTAAATGAGTTTCTTCTTATGGTGATACTTCAAGATAAAGAACATACCCCCAAATTGATGGGGTTCTGTGGTGATCTTTATGTGATGGAAAGTGTTGAATATACCTCTCTTTATGGAATCAGTCTTCCATGGGTCATTGAGCTTTTCATTCCATCTGGCTTTAGAAGAAGCATGGATCAGTTGTTCACACCATCATGGCCCAGAAAGGCCAAAATAGCCATAGGACTTCTAGAGTTTGTGGAAGATGTTTTCCACGGCCCCTATGGAAACTTCCTCATGTGTGATACTAGTGCCAAAAACCTAGGTTATAATGATAAGTATGATTTGAAAATGGTGGACATGAGAAAAATTGTGCCAGAGACAAATCTAAAAGAACTTATAAAGGACCGTCACTGTGAGTCTGACTTGGACTGCGTGTATGGCACAGATTGTAGAACTAGCTGTGATCAGAGTACAATGAAGTGTACTGCAGAAGTGATACAACCAAACTTAGCAAAAGCCTGTCAGTTACTCAAAGACTACCTACTGCGAGGTGCTCCAAGTGAAATTCGTGAAGAATTAGAAAAGCAGCTTTATTCTTGCATTGCTCTCAAGGTTACAGCCAATCAAATGGAAATGGAACATTCTTTGATACTCAACAACCTAAAAACATTGCTGTGGAAGAAAATTTCCTACACAAATGACTCTTAATTCATTTGGACTTTGTGACCATTGTAGGAAACTTACCATGAAGTTTTCAACGTTTTAAATCAATGGCTTCTAATTCAGATCCCTTTCCCACAGACCTAAGAAAGCATCATCCTAAAATGTTCAAAGGCAGGAGGTGTATCAACAAGTTCAACTTCATTCCTGCACTTTTAGAAGCCCTGGTACATTTCCCCGTACATTTCACTGTGTAACTGTTTTGACTTAAATAATGCTGTGAAAAGCCTCATTCCATAAACATGAACAGTTAAAAAGAGTATTTTGTAGCTTTGTTAGCCAAAATACCATTGCGGAAACATTGTGTTTGCATTGAAGCTGCTGTTTAAAGTTTATACCTACTTACTAATGTCTTAGCATGGTAAAGTTTGCACATTAACAGAAATTAAGACTGCGAAGCAGGTAAATTAAAATTATTCCTCTAAAAAGATGGGTTAATAGCATGGTTTGTATTTTAAGTACATTTTCATCAAATATCACGTGGCTTCACAAATTCAGAACACTTTCACCAGGAAGTGTTCAGTTTACTCATAGTTGATTGCCAGTGTTAAAGAGGTTGTAACTAGGCAAGACTTCAAAGGATCATCCGATTCAAAAGGTCCACTGAAATTGTTATGTGAAGGCCAGACTCAATCCAGATTATCTGAACTGAGGCATGGGGAAGGGGACAACTGAGACCATGCAACTTTTAGTAGTAACTCCCCATTTTTGAATAGTATTTCCTACTGGCCAAAGGGCTATTCTGTAATACGCATGTAAATGTATTCATCCATTTTCCTCCTGTCAACTTGGTATGTAAGGGTATTTGCTCCTTTCATGTTAATTCAAATTTGGCATGTACCTTTCAACAGCTTTTGGAGAAAAAAAAAACTATATTTTTTGCTCAAAGAATTTTCCTAAAGTGAACTATGTTCAAGTAATTGACACCTTCACTAGACAGCGTTCTCAAAATTAAAGCCACGGGTTAGCACCAGTTTTGCTTATTTTACAATTGTGTACTTTAAAGGTACTTTTTCTTCCCCACTAGTTACAATAAATGAATGGAAGAAATATTTCCTAGTGAATGGTTGGTGTGTTGCTTGCCAAAAGTTAGGGATAGCAACCATCACACAGAAACCCAAAAAGCAGGTGTGAACTTTAATCAATATGCAAGACAATGCTTTCTGGAAAAGGCAACATGTTTCTTAAAGGAAAAACTACAAACTCTTGTTTTTTTCACACTTCAAGATTATTTTCTGCAGTGTCATTAACAAAAGCTTAACACAGAAATCAATGCTTGATCAATAATTTTATTATTGTATTGTCTTTACTTAAAAATCTCCATTAAAAAATGGTTTGGCGTATTAGCTCTCAGCAGCCCGCTCCTGAAATCTGAAGAAGCTTGCCTTCTTCTGAGCTACCCGATTTTTCTTCTGGGCAAGAGACATTTTGGGACGGTTCCACCTATAAAACAGTGTAAGAGTCAAGAATGTAACTTTGACAAATTAAGCATTATTTTCTACTCCATTCAATGATCAAAATATGAAATTCTTCAACCCATTACAAAATGCAGTAAATGATAATTACACTGTATTAGGATAGAATGGAACAGCTCAGTAATTTCTGAGGTCAGTACATTTCTATCACCACAATTACTTTAGCAAACCTGGTTCCCCTCACTTCTGCAACATCATGCAGAGTTAGTGATCGAGTTTGCACTTCTGAGACTGAATAAAATGAAGCAAGCCAAGGAACCCTCCCAACCTCCTCCTCTTAAAATGACAATAGTGAAACAAATACCTCTTCTTTTTAACTTCTTTCTTAGGCTTCTTCTCATAGACTGGATTCTCGCGTATAGCAGCATGAGCTTTCTTATACATCTCCTCCATCTGAAACAAAGCAAAGCAAACAGTACTTGGTTTCATTTCATATGCCCTAAGCAACAGTAAAAACATACCAAATTCTATGACTTGCTCTCTTTTGTCCTGTTAAGCCAGACTGTCAAGAGGAACTAATCTAGATCAATATTGGTTATCTGCTTAAATTGCTAAATGTATGCCATGTTTTGTAATGAAATTCCTATTTTCCTCAAGCAATGTAAGCTCATACTTCACACAAAAACTGTCTTAAATTTACACGTATTTCTAAGAAATACAACTATGCTTTGTGTCACTTAAGTTTAGAGAAAATTGATTTCTGCAAGAAACACACATTTTGTTTATTTAAAATACTGTCTTTCAACCTGTGATAACATGCCAAAACAAAGCATTTAAAGAAGTGTATACGGGCTTATAAGCATTCACTGGATTCACACTGATGCTGATAAGTCTTCATAGCTACTCCCAGAATGACATACTAAAGACTTCTGATATCTACTACTACTGAGTCTTTGGTACATCTGGCAGCAGTACTGGACCTCCATGGGAACCAGAAATTAGTCTGAGTTTCTCTAGAGAATGGTGAAAAGCTAACCAATTAGGTATATTGATGAGCACTTTGCTCCTAAGTTCATAAAACTACTCATTCAGGGTAGAAACATTGTGATTATTACATGTATTTGTATCTAGATTAGCAAAGGAAAACAATGAAAAATTTTAACACTTGTCTCAAATATCTACTCTAAATCCTCTTGACAGTTTCTATTTCTTTTTAAAAAAAGATTTATTTATGCATACAAGAGCAGGGATGCAGGCCAGAGGTGGGGGTGTGTGTAATGTGTGAAAGGATTCGCCAGACAACAGTGGGAAGCATACCAGGCAGATCTATTGAAATACACTGCTGAGGGGAGCAGCAGGAGAGGCAAGAGAGGTCTGCTACACTATATGGGTCAGCTCCCTGGCCAGGCATTGAACCTGTGCTATAGTGGCTGCAGGTAGCTTTACAGTACTGACACTTAAACCCATGTGCCACCATGGAGGCTAATTTCTACTTCTTTTAATACTCTTAACAATTCTTCACTGTTTTTAACAAATCCATCTGAAGACTTTAAATGTAGTCATTTAAGTCAAGATCTAGAGAGATCCACAACCCAGTTCATACCTTTCAAGTCAGAAAAGTAGGCAATACTATTATGTATGTATATAATACTAGAGTTTAAACCACTTTCCACAAGTATGTGAAAGAACCAGGAAATCAGTAGTAATATAAAGTAATATTCCCATGTGAAAACATACACTTCATTACTAATATAAAACTACCCATTTCCTAGCCTGAAAATTCAAACTTCAGAGATCACTTTATTTGGCTTTTACTTAACCTCTGGGATTAACACCCCAATTTCACTTTAAGATAAGGACAACTTAATTTCAATCTATATCTTTGAACATGTCTACATTCAACTTTTAACTGATAACCTAAAATAAAGCTAGGTAACATACCCACCAAAAATCTGATTCCCTAACCTAACAATTTTAGTTAAAATTTTTACCATGTCTGGCGTCACGTTGTTCTTTATGTACTGAGAGAATTGTTTCTTGTAAGCATCTTCATCTTCTTCCATTAAGTAACGCATGTAATCTGCAACGTTTTGGCCCATGATATGCTTCCGATGCACTTCAGCATGGAATTCCTTGCTTTCTGAATCATAACCAGGGAATCGTTTGGTACTAAAATAAAATTTTTAATGTTTTAGTATGTGCTGATTGTAATTAGCTCATCAGAAGGAATTCTCCGGTAGCTGCTATCAGTCCCGTCTTGAAACAGTAATTGCATCATATGCAATCAAAGGACCAACTACGACTGCTCAGTTAGTGGACATCATCATCTAGCAGCTAACCTCTGAATTCCAGGATAGAAAAGAAAATCACGCCACAAACATCTTTAAAAACCATTAAATAAACCCAGGTTTCCCAAACACTAAAAAGTTATTTCTTAAGCATAAAGTTTCAAAACTGTTCCCAAAATCCTAGAATTTCTCAGTGATGCCTTAAAGTACATGGGGTTAAGTGACTTTTTGGGAATTACAGTGTCTTGCAAGAAAGCTGCCGACCCTCAAAAATTAAATCCCTCCACCCCACATCACAAAATTAACTTCCAGTTAGGTCACAACTTTATGAGCTAAAATCTCGCCCCTTCCTGTTCAGTCCTCCACCCCCCAATACAGTAAAGCAATGCTCTTTCTGAATGGAAAACACCTTAGACAAAGCATTTATCTTTGAACTTTTATGAGCATTTATCCTCATTTATAAATGTTTTTGTTAAGCAGTGGCCTGCCAGGTTCCTTTTGCATGGTACATAGCATGTAACAGGTACACAATGAGTTAATTAACTGATTTAATAATCTTCACAATCAAACCAGTTAGTAACAGAAGTATTGGAATCCAGGCAATGACCCCTGGGATTCTATTTTACCTGTGAGGAATAGACAAGCCTCCATCCACAGCTCCCTTCAGGGCCCCAAAAACTTTATTCCCTGTAGTAGTTCTGGCAAGTCCAGCATCCAAATAGCAAGTAAAGGCACCTGGTTGACCATCGATGCTCTCCACATTATATTCATCTCCTGTCACCTCTACTTGGCCTTCATAGATCTTGTCCATGCCAAACCTATTGAGAAGCTATCAACAAAGAAGTCAGTCTTGAATATATCTGTCAGAATATATTCAAGCAACTCTTTAACACTATCTCAAGCCCTAACTTCCAAGATCTGACACATGGGAAAAATTTCCTCCCAATTAATTTGTTGCTTTTTCCCCGAACTACTTTTAACCCACATTTTTAAAAAGTTTTATTTATTTATGCATAAAGAACTAGCATACAGGCCAAAGATGCAGTGGGTAACAGAATTTACCAGAGATAAAGTAGGGATCAAAACAGGCAAATCTATTGAAATACACTGCTGAGGGGAGCAGCAGGTGGGTCAGGAGGTCTGGCACATCACGTAGGTCACCTCCCTGGCATGGGAATGAATTCGTGCTGCAGTGGCTAAAGATAATGTCATAGTACAACGCTTTTCCTGTTGCGCTACCAGGGAGGGCTGTAATCCACATTTTAAAAAGCTATAAAAAGCAACTTTAGACATTCAAATTCACCCTCAGCTAGTAATAGTTTTCATAGCTTCTGAATCTTTGTTGTATATCCAGAACTGATTTATGTACCAATCAGATCTATATGTATCATATAGATTTGATTCTTGTATTTAGTCAAGGAAGGCAATGTTCACATTTCTTCAGTCATATTTGGCTTCAATAATTAGTGCTAGCAAATGTTATCATGTGTAGTTCTGTTTGAGCAAAATCTTAGCAATAGCAGACTAGGCTGAGGAGGACATCTTTTGTGGCTTCACTCTCCAATTACATTGTGTTAATAATATGGGCCATTCCTTTGCCAATACACATTATCTAGTAGTACTTCTGTACTAATTAGTTGCTCATATGCAACAGCAGTATGTCTCCCCTCATATTCAAATGTTTACAACCAATGCATATTTGGGTTCATTGCTTAACAATTACCCTGTAAAACAAAATATGGCAAAATTACAATTTCATCTTTTAGCATATTAAAAAAAAAGCATGCTGGCCCTCCCTGGTGGCGCAGCGGGTTAAAGCACAGCACTGAGAATCTAAAGCCGCTTCTGCATGAGTTCGATTCCCGCCTGCCCCGGA